ACCACCCAAGGCCGTGACTATGATCAGAAAGGTGTGGCTCTTGGGTTTGTGTGTGCAAGGGGGCGAGCAGATGCGAGCTCGAGCACAGCGCCACCGACTCTAAGAGCATCACCCCCTGGAGCAGCAAGCGGGGCTCTACGGGAGCTTCAGCAGACACCTGCTGCAGTGACAGCGACCTCACCGACTCAAGGGAGGAAACACAGCCCCGACCCCCACACTTTGCGGGCAAGGTTCGTATCCATATCCAGTGCGTCTTGGATTTTTGTTGGGAAGGAGCGTCACAAGGCCGAGGCGCACTGGATATTGATAAAAATCGAGCCTCTAGGGGGCAAATTTATCCATATCCAGCGCGCCTCTGGTTTCTGGGGAAGGGAACCCGAAACTCCATATCGCAGTGGACATCGACAGAAGTATTGCCCGCACACTTGGCGTTTGCCAAACAGTCCTTTTCGTTTGCTCAGAAGCCTGGCCCTGTTCGGCTCCTTGCCAAGGCGCGTTTGCTCAAGGGCTTCGCTTGTCGGGGTGCCCCTGCAGTCCAAGACGCTGAAACGAGGACCACTTCGGGCTCAGGCGGGGCGCTGGTTTTCGGGCCGCTCCCTAGACCCAGGTCGAGGAATCACTCAGGAGGGAAGAAAACACACAGACACAAGTAATCGTCGATTCCCTTAAAAATATGCGGAAATATGGGAAGCGGGGGGGGGAGACAAAAACCCAGAACATATGGGAAAGTAGGGGGAATCGTTTTATTTGTGTGTATGTATTGGTGTGTCCCAGTTCCCCTTCCATCACTTCGAGGACGAGGCCCGCCGTGGCCAGAAGAGCCACCTCGTTCGTGATTCCGTTGCCCTCTCGCCGGCACGAGGCCTCCACCGATCAAGCAGACAGCGCTACAGTGAGCGGTTTGAGTACGGAACACTTACTTCTCAAAAGGGGCTCGGTCGTTCCTTAGATTTTACATGCGTTATTTACAGTTCCTTGTGCGTTATTTGTTATGTATCGTTCCTTATGCGTTATTCCTTGGGATAAACAGGGGCTTCGTTCCTTAGGTCAACGCCCCGACTGTAGCACAGCAGTAGCCCACGCAGCCCATCGCGCTGCAGCCCACACCCAGTGGCTCCGCGTGCGCTCCCCGGGTGGTGCGACGCCTGCCCGGCAGCCGAGACACGCGCTCGGAGGCTCCACCAGACCCGCGTCGGGCGCGCAGCCAAAACGGCTCACGCCGCCAAACAAGGCGACGACGATGACGCTGATGATGACGAGCCTCGAGCCCGATGCCTTTGTCACGGGTGCACTCAGCATTCAACAAGCATCATCATCGTCATCGTCATCATCACAGCACCGCGCGAGGGCATCCACCTCAGCAGCAAGAAACGCCACACGGGGCTCTCGAGAAAGGCCTTCGCCTTCGACGAGGGTCGGAGGAATCGGCATTCCTTCCTCGACGCAAGATGACGGAAGGCGGCGAAAGTGAGACGAGCCTACCTCCGCCGGCGGAAGGTCGGCAGAAGCAAACATCGGCTTTCCAAGAGATGACACCATTTGTTGATGTTTCCGGAGCGGTCCACATCTTGCCACTCGATTTGACGACACGCGCCAGTCAGAAGCATGGGGCGCTAAGGAGGGACATATCGCTTTTCCCGAAGGACCCGCCACCACGACTGGCGAAGGCATCTGCCCGCGATGGCCAATCGAGCCGATTCGATTCCATGCAACCGCAGGGAGTGAGCAGACCAATCGACAAAACCAACTAAGACCAACCGACTAAGACGCAGGAGGCGATCCCACAACAGCGCACCGATGCGAGCCTCATTTACCTGAGGACGAAGGTGATCTTCGGAGGAGAGCCGCGACCACCAGATCTCAACGATCTTGTGGGAAGACGACAGGGCTACTCAGCAAGGCGCTCGAAGACCTGAAGGCCCACCGCAGGTGAGGGCTCAGCGATACGAGGACCTGGGCAGTCTGACGAGCTGACCTGCCCACAGCATCCGCTCCTAGGAGTGCATCTGGAGCCAATCGCATCATGGCGTCACTCTCGTCCGAAAAGTCCTGTCCCCCGATCCCCCCCTCGCCCCCCCCCCTCCTCCTCCTCCTCCTCCTCCTCCTCCTCCTCCTCCTCCTCCTCCTCCTCCTCCATGCTCCTCCTCATCCAGGCTCCTCCTCCTCCTCCTCCTCCTCCTCCTCCTCTCCTCTCCTCCTCCTCCTCCTCCTCCTCCTCCTCCTCCTCCTCCTCCTCCTTCCCCATGACGTCCGCCGATATGCTGTTTCCCGTGCGCGGCCCCAGGAGTCCCGACCCCTTCCCCAGCGCAAGCTGCCCCCCCAGATCCGAGATTTGCCGGCCCCCGGGGCCCGACCTCGCGCCCCGGGGGGGGCCATCGGCACCGAGGAGCCACGCCCGACCCGCGCAGGCCACCGCGCACAGTCGGGGCCCTGAAGAAGGAACCCTTTTGGTTGGGGAGGGGCTCCGCGTTCCTCAAGTGTTTCACAGCTTGCCTCAGGTTCCCCGCATGTTTTCGATCGGAAATCGAAGTTTGACTCATGGAAAAAAGGGGCCTCGTTCCTTATTTGGGGTTTCTCAGGTCAACGCCCCGACTGTACACGCCGGTCGCTGAAAGTAGGTATTCTGGGACTCCCAGGTCCCAATCTGCTGCAAGCGCCTTCCTGCCTCAAGGATCGGCACGCTCTTTTGCTGTGTTGCGTTATTCCCTGGGGTGAGCCTGACCCAATCAATTTCATCCGCCTTCCTGCGTCATGTTTCTACCTACTTCTTCCGACCGAAGTGTATGGCCGCCGTGTCATCATCGTGCACCCTCTTTGTTCCGCTCTTATCGCCGGAGATCTGGGACCTGCATGCCTCCGCAAAGCTTGACGCAAGTTTTCCCGCGCCGCGTCGGCGCCCCCAGACCCCCAGACTTCAATGTCCGAATCACGCGACGTCAGATTGTCCGACGGCGTCCGCGCACCGCGCCGCGCGCGCCACTGAACGTTGAAATTGGGGGCGAGGGGGGGTCGGCAAACTTTGCGTGAAGTTTCGCGGGGGGTGTGTCCGAGGCGAGTTTTCGGAGCCTCGGCAGGCGGTGGACATGGACATGCTCGGGCCCCCGGGGGCCGAAATGTATGTATCCATATATCCACCGCCCGCTGGGGCACCAGGACGTCGGCTCCCAGGCGGTGGGTGTGGATAATCCCCCGCCCGGCAGTGTGGGTCGGCGCCAGGCCCGTTCGCCTTCGTGCTCGTCGCGGCGGCCCACCCTGGCGGCCCCGCCGGCGCCGTGCTCGCCTACGACCTGCGCGGCTGCGGCGGCGCCGCGGACGGCGGGGCCCGCCGTGCAGGGGCCGAGAGTCCTGCGAGAACAGCGGAGGGCCGCCGAAAACTCCCAGAGAGACCTCCGAGAACCTCCGAGTGCCTCCCCTTCTCCTCCTCCCCTCGCCTGGCTCCCATCATTCCTCCCTCCCTTTTGTGGAGGACGATCAATGGAAAGGAAGCACGTTGCCAAATACTTTCCAGATGTCTAGAACATGCGTTAAACATGTTTCAAACATGTACAAAACATGTTCTAAACATGTTTAGAACATTTTCCTACATTTCAAACAAATTTTAAATGCAATGATCGATCGTTAGGGTGTCTATTATCGTGGCATCCACAACCCTCCCTCTTCTGCACTCTCGGGGGGGCCCTCGGAGCTCCTTCTGGTTACCACACGTGCGGTCCTGAGTATCGATGGGGGACTCTGCGAGGAGGTAATTACGTCGACTGCCAGGTGGTGGCATCCGGAGGCCAAAGAAGTATAAAGCATGTCTGAAAAGCAGTTCATCCGCCTTCTCAAGATGAAGCGGACCATGCCATTATATGGTGGGTAAGTTGTCGTTCAGACAATAGAAATGAAGCCTTAGACCTCAGAGGGGCTTCTCGGCTCCGGATGGAACGACAGGCCCTCTTGGCTTAGTTGGAGACGTTCGACCACTATCCCCTGGCGGCTATGGGTTGAGGAACCCTCTTCTGTCTGTGTGGCTCTTTCAGAAGTTTTGCGGAGCTGGGCGTCATGGGAGGAGGAAAGAGAAGTGCAGGAAGGGGTGGTGGATCGGCATCTGGGCCAGTTCACTCCAGCTGTCTGAGGCTCGGTACGACTCATCGTCAGATTGTGCATCGCCCTGCTGTTCGCTCAAGCCAGGATCAGGAACAGGCAGGAGTGAGGAGGAGCATGGAGGTGGGAGAAGGATGGAGGATAAGGAGGACGCAGGAGGAGGAGGAGGCGGTAGAAATGAGTGGAGTGGAGTGGAGTGCGCGCCGTAGCGGATGCAAGTGCCATGATCACCACCTGACTAAATTTCACCACACTGGCGGTTCCCCGATAGTCTTGCAGCTTGTTCTGCAGGAGAACGAGGACGGAGGGGAGATATGAGGCCTTTAGAGCAGGGAGGACAGAGGGCGGAGAAAGGTGGATGGAATGGGGGAGGAGGTGGAGGGAGGCTGTGGAGGGAGGATGAAGAGGGAGGGTCTTCCGTGGAGCTTCCGTGGGTTGGTTCCGTCCCGCAGGGCGTTGGCCGCTCTGGTGCGCGCGCCTCCGCCCAATGCGCATCGGGCCGTGGCTGTCGGAGGGCGGCCGTAGTCTGCTGGGCGTAACTGGCGGAACAGAGGAAAAGGTGGTTGCAACCCAAGCGCCCACGGCGTGGCGAGGAGGAGGAGGAGGAGGAGGAGGAGGAGGAGGAAGAGCAGAAAAAGAAAGATTAGGAGGAGGAGGAGGAGGAGAAGGAGGGGAAGAGGAGGACGAGGGAGGAGAAGGTGGGCGGTGAGAGGTGAGAGGTGAGAGGCGAGAGGTGAGAGTTGGAGGGTGAGGTGGGAGAAGGTGGGAGGCGGGAGGAGGAGGAGAAGGAAGGAAGGAGCAGCAGGAGGAGGGAGGGAGGGAGGGAGGGAGGCGGAGGAAGAGGAGGGAGGGATGGAGGCTGTGGAGGATGGCGGGGGGAGGGTCCCTTGCCGCCTGCTCCTCCCCCGGAAGAGGACGGCCGCCGCCTTCCGCCCGCCAGCGAGACGGAGCCGATGGACGGCGCACCCTTTCTGGCGCTGGCCGCCCACCACTCGCAGGGCGCCGCCGCCAGGGGGGGCCCTTCTCGCCGTCGTCGTCGGCAGCCTCGTCGGCGCCGTCGCCCTCGTCGGCGACTTCGACGGCGCCGTCGGCGGCGTCTTCCTCGTCGGCGCCGCCGGCGGCGTCGCCGGCGCCGGCGGCGGCGTCCTCTCGGCGTTGCCGCCGTCGTCGTCGTCGTCGGCGTCGCCAGCGGCGTCGTCGTGGTCGATGTCGCAAGGGCGCTCCCTTGTGCCTCCTGAGTCATACTCTGCGAGCAGCGGCAGGAGGATTGGCAGCAGCGGCGGCGCTTGCACTTGTAGTGGTTGAGCACACGATGCCTTCCTCGAGGGCGGCGCTTTGCGGCCTCCCTCGAGCGCGCGAGGTCGGTGTGCGCGTCTTCGCTGCGCGGCACTGCCACGCCGTGGTGCGGTGTCGTCGTGTGCCGCGGCGTGCCGTGCCGTGGCAGGAGACGCCTCGTCTCCCCGAGGGCGGTGGGGGGCAGCGCCGCGTGCCGTCGCGTGCAGGTTGGCTGCGCGTTGGCCAGGGCGGGGCGCCTGGCCGGGCCAGGGGCGGCTCCGCCTGGCCAGAGCGTGAGCTGGTTGGGCGGCGTGCATCTTCTAGCTCACAGAGCGCGCGGGCACGCGCCACTGGCAGAGGGGGGCCAGTCCTCCTCGTCGTCGTGGATCGCTCGGGCGTTCGAGGTTCGAGGCTGGAGCTGCTTCTTCAGGTGTCTCTCTTGTGTGCGGGGGGGGGGGCATCTGGGAGGCCCTTCGTCACTGTGGGCTGGAGTCCTCTCGAACTCCTGATGGGAGCTCACCCCTGGAGAGGTGTGGGTCGATTTTTGAGGCGGGTGGGTCACCGTCGTCGTCGTCGCTGTCGGCGCGGGCGCCGGCGTCAGCGGCCTCGACGTCGCCGCAGGGCTTCTGGCGAGAATTCCGCGTGGCCCTCACACTAAAGACTGATCCACAAAATGCGCCAAAAGAGTACACATTATTTTTTTCTAAGTATTCGAAAATTATTTGTTTTTTGGGGGGGGCATGATCCTTTCATTTCTAAGTGTTCCATCCTGGGCCTCTTCCTGGCCACTACGGGGCCAGGAACAATTAGAAACGAGCACAACTAGAAATAATCACGATAAGAAGTTAACGACGTGTACACATAAAACGACACGCGAGCAGAAACGTCATAAGCGTAACACTGCACTGAAGAGGCGCACGCAATGCGCTCTCCGAGTACATTTCGCGTGAGCTCCTGGTGGGTATCGCTCGCGAAACGTCCCAAAGCGGCGCAGAGTCAGGGGCAACGCTGGGGGGTAGGCTCCAGGAGGGACGCAGCGACCCATTGATCGCCGATAGGGGCTCGATAGCCCCACCCCGCCCAGAAACGGCCGGACTTGCTATCGGGGACCCATCGCCGATCGATCGGCGATGTGTCGCCGACTGCGGGTCGATGTCCCCCCGCCCTCGACCCTCGATCCTCGAGCCTCGCTCCCCCGCTCGATAGCGGGCGCGGCTCGGGAGGGGGCGGGGGGGAGGGGGGCACGTCGCGATTCGCCCCGGCGCCGTCCTGGAAATGCCTGCGAATGGCTCGCTCCCAGACGGCGCTGGCGCGGATCGTGACGTGAGCAGGGGGCGGGGATCAGTACTCCCTCGAGCTGGCCCCCCTCCAATGTTCCCCTACGCTCTCTTTTAGTCTCTGGGGCCCGTGTCCGGACCATTGTATGGTTCGGGTGGTCCCAGACGGCGCGGTGACACCACTGTGTGGTGAGTCTGTGGGGACTCGGGGTGGCCGCAGCGTTGTTGGACTTGGGTCGTTCTCCGAGGAAATCACGGGCGTCTGGGGCCTCCAGGGTCCCATAACTGTGCGGTGACGGACTGCGCAGTGAGGTTATGGGGGGTTCCGTGTCACCGCGCGGTTAGTCACCGCACCGCTTTGGGATCCCCATGGTTTGCGCGTTCGTTGCCGTCGGTACCTGGGGACCGTTTCCGAGCAATCAGGTAAGAGTCCGGGGTGATGCAGGAGTTGCCCCTGGGGAAGGGGCCGAGAGTTCAGGTGCCCATGGATCGTGCAAGTCAGTGCGGTTGAGGTCTGGGCACGAGTCCAGTCGGTCCATCCACAGAGGAGTGTATTCCAGGCTTGGACCCCGGAGTGAGTTTGCGCACTCTGGGTGTGCGAGCCATGTGGTGGAAGCTGCGTGATTCAAGCTGCAAGCTGTGTGGTTCAAGCTGCGTGGTGCAAGCTGTGCGGTGCCACCTGCGCGGCACAAGCTGTGGGCAGCCACGCGTGCGGTGCAACCCTTGTGGTGGACGCCATGTGGTGCAAGCGAGATGAGAAGCCACAGCCGCTTGCGAGGTGCTCAGGCGCGAAGGAAGAGCCTTCGGCGCAAGCACCGCTGTGGCACGGACTGTGCCTCGCCCTCGGGCTCCCGGGCCCCCTGGACGCTGGACGCGGGGGCAGGCTCCGTCTTCCTGCTGGGGGGGACGGACAGCGTCCGCATCATGCAGGTGCGCGAGGCCACCAGCGGAGGAAGGGAGGAGGGGGGGGAACGAGTGCTGCAACGAGTGCTTCCCCAGACACCCGCCGATATGACTTCTGTTCAGCGCGCGGCCCCAGAGGTCCCAACCCCCCTTCCCCGGGCCCCCGGGGCCAGTTTGTCGTTCTGGATCCGTTTTGATGGCCCGGGGGCCCGATGACGGGCCCTGGAGGCCAAAATCGAGGAGAAACTCCTGGATCGAAAAACGGATCATCCGAGATGTGGGTACGTCAGAGGACGCATGCGCGCCGCGCGCGCTTGGTGCGGCAGTCGCATCGGGCACAGAAAAAAGGCCCTCGTCGCCAGTGGCTCTCGCTGCCCCGGCGGTGGCTCCCCCTCTGCAGCAGTTGCTCGCCCGTCCGGGTGGTCCCCTGCGGGGGCTTCGCTGACGTGGCCCACTTGCTCCGAAACCTTCGCGTTGCAACGGCGGAAGGTGTTGGCAGCTTCCGGCTTTCGGGGGGACTCCCTAGGCCTTGAGACCTTACAAAGCGGTTCAGGTTGGAAAGCTGGCTCTCAGGAAAGGGCCCATCGGAGCATGCAATACATCAGGTGATGCATTCGGCTGACCATTGTATTTCTTGGGAGCATGCAGGGGACGTCGAGTTGCAGTTCCAGACCTCGGGGGGCACGTGTCGGATGTGTGGGTGCTCAGCAGGCCCCGCGGGGGAAGTAGCCGTCGGGCAGCCTGCGAAAGTAATGCTCTTAACCTGGAAATGCCCGCCCTGGGGTAGGCACGAGGCCCCATGGGGCTTCCATGCCACACGGCACCGCCACTCCGCGAAAACGCACGACAAGTATTGCAAGTGACGCCATTGCAGTGGGCCAGGGTCAGACCAAGGAGGATTTGGAGGAGGATTCGTAGGGCGAGCTGGGATGAGGATGGGAGGCTGGGAGTAGGAGGACATGGAGGATAAAAAGGAGGACGACGAGGAGGACGGGAAGAGCGTCGATCTCTAGATGATCTCGCCCTCAGCATTGAGAAGCTCTGAGAAGGAGGAGGAGGTTGCGTCGGCTTCATGCCACGCTGAGCCCGGTTGTGCGCCGAAGAGTTTCGTCGATCGTTGCTCCGAATGCCGATGGCAAGATCACATCGGAGGCGAGGGGGCGAGATCGCAGAGAAACAGAGAGCCCCCACCGGGAAATTGGTTTCGGTCGTGCGCGCGGGCGAGGCGAAGCTGCGTCGGCGGGCGAGAGGAATGACCCCTCGCTCACGAGGGCGCCGCCAGGCCAAAGGCTCTTGAGGCTCGAGGCGTAGGCGTTCTGGCACACCTATTCTTATCAGCCTCGAACTTATCCCTACCCCTAAGATTGACACGCCAAAAGGCGATGACAATCTTAGGGATGCGCCCTCAAAAAACAAGGGAACCCCTAAGATTGGCATCGTGATGAGGAGATGCCCAGCATAGGGATAGGGATATGTTCCAGGCTCGTAATATTATGCTTCTCGCACCTTCTGCCGGAGTCTTCCTCTCAGCAGCTATGGCCGGACGTCTCCAGGAGCATCTCCGCTCCACCATCAAGCACCGCCCACCAAGCCACCCCAACCCAACCCGAAGGCCCCGATTTGCCCTCCATTTCCAGTGGGGGGGGGGGTCGGGGAACATGGAAAAACACATATGAAGCCCGTACCCCCCCAACCCGAAATCGGGGTCTTCGGGTTGGGTTGGGGTGGTTTGGTAGGTAGTCAATCAAGCATATGCTCTCCATGACCGGCTCGCCCACTCCCATACGTGCTCGCACGGAGGCCCAGGGTGCGGGTTCTTCCAGTGGTGACGCGGCTGGCGTTTCCCGCAGCGCGTCCACATACGCGTAAAGCGTCCGTCTGGGTCCCAGGAGGTCGAGTGGTTTGGCGAGACGATGGTCAGGAGGAAAAACAACACAAAACACAATGAATCGACGATCCCAAGAAGATATGGGAAAATGTGGGAAAATATGGGGGATCCTTGTATTTGTGTGTATTTAATGTTGTGTCCCAGGGCCCCTTCAGATGGGCGCGGTCGCTCATCTGCACGAACGAAATGGGCACGGAAAGAATGGGTACAATGCCCGACAGCGGATCTTGTTCACTTTGAACAGGACTCGCTGTCGACGCCGCCGCGGCCTGTGTCCACGTGAAAGAGAAGGCCGCCTGCCCAACATCGGCCGTTGTTGGTTCGAGGCAACATTTGCTGTTGGGCACTGTGCCCATTGTTTCCGTGTCCATTTCGGGCGTCCAAAGCTCAGGACAGTGCCCGCACCGTCTGCGAGCAGGCGGAGGACCGCATCAAGGCCATGGAGTCGGAGGTCACCGACTGCACGAACAAGGCCACCAAACGCAATGAGAAGGTCGACGACTCGGAGGCGCGAAGTGGGATGCTCGACGCGCGCGCGGACACGATCGAGGCCCACATGCCAGCGCTCGAGGAGGCGTCCAAGAATCCCAACGACGCCATGACCTCGGAGGCCACGCGTCAGGTTGAAGCGCGGGTGGCAGCCGCTCCACATGCAGGAGGCGAGGTGCCCCACCAGCAGCGCGTCGTTGCCTGCGTCGCCAACCTTGGGTTTGTTACGATGACGATGGAGCTTGAGACTCGCTGCACGCAGCTGCTGCAAGAGTGCTGCCTCGCGGCGGGGACGGATTTCCCGGGCGCCGCCTCCGCGCGCAAGGAATCGGGATCCGCTGTGAGGTGGTCGTCGCATCGTGGCACCTCCTCGCCCGTGCCCGTGTGCTCACCACGTCCAAGCGCAAGTACATGGCCGCACAACGTGGCTCAACCCAAATCGTGTCCCTCATCGCGTGCACGATACGTTGCAGCAGTTCGAGGCCGAGCATGGCGACAGGCAGGAGGTCTGGAAAAACGCCCCCGCCAAGATCGTGAAGGTGCGTGCGGGGCATCGCGGCGGGTTTTGCGCTGGTTCTGCATGGCAGCGAGGCGCTTCCAGAAAGCAGCGGTACGGGGCGGAGCAGCTTGACCTTGTCAAGGCCTTCGCCGAGCAATCGTGAGCGTCCTAGACACTCACCGCGATCAGTCGGGAAAGAGTTGGTCGATCAAGCCGCTCGTGACGCAGTTGCGTGCAGTCTTGAGCAGTTGGCGCCCGATTGGTCGGTCGTTTTCCTCGCCGAGTGCGACGCGAGCCGATCACACTTTCTGTTCGGGTGATAATATTTGTCAGCGTTTTTGGGCTGGGTCGGGCTCGGTTTTTATTCGTAAGACGCGGCTCCACATTTTGCGCTCTGTCGAAGACAGCGGCAGGGCTTGCCGTGTGCACCTTTTCCGACGGCGCGGCCATGAATCTGGGCTTCGTCTGATTCCATGGGGTTCAAGGTGGCGACTTGCCTGACAGCCTGTCTGATGCGACGCTCCCGTGTCGATCTCGCGCCACTGGTTCCCACCTTGTCGTCATGGGCGATTTAAAAGTCGATGTTCCCCCCGCTTTCTCTGGGGGCCCTTTTGCTGAGAAGCCTGGCCGTCTTGCCCGGCATGCTCAAAACAACGAGCTCTTTTGGACTAGTTCTTGGACTCCTGTTCTGTCTCCTTCCGCGCTCCCATTTCTATTCCGGGTGACCCTCCCAGCGCGCGCGTGTCGTCCAGCGCGTATTATCGCCCCTCGCCCGGGTCCCACTTGGTGAGCATTTGGGACTGCCGTCGTAGATCGATCGTTGTGCGCCCGGTGGCAGCGCGCGCGAACTGACTGTGCACTGGCCTCGGGATGTTCCATCCGATGACGCTGCCCTTATCGCCCGATGTCCTCGCGCGAGCCCGGCCCCGTCTTCGCGCGACGACCGCGCAACGCGTGGGCTTGCGACGACTTTCCGGCTGCCCTTTCCGTAGCCCGTAACATGATCAACAGCATGGGCGGCGCGCAGATCAACGCTGCTGTCGATTTCGATGCCATCGCCACGAAAGTGCAGGAGGCCGCTTGCGACCGGCGCCCCTGCTCCGAGCGTCGACGGCTCTGGGAGCTCCTTGCCATCAAGGGGCCCCGCCGCCAGCGGGCGCCCGCCCCCTCGGAGACCGAGCGGACCCGATTGCAGCAATTCATATAGACAGGCCGCAAACATCGGGTGGACACGCTGCGGCATGTCCGCGACCGACAGTCCTTCCACCGAGGGAGGCCGATCTGGAAGGCCCAGTTATGAGCTGCACAAGTTGACGAGGCCCTGACAGCGTGGACCACCGTGACTGGGCGGACCTCATGTCAGAAGCGCACCCCCAAAAGTGGGGACGCAGCGACTGCGTCCGCAACGCGTGGCTGCAGAGCGAGCTCGCGCAACATCAGGGCTACAACATCGACGTCTCCGCGGACGAGGTGCGAGTGGCCCCGCTTGCAGCGCGCCGCCAGCGAGTACTGGATCCTTACGGTTGCCGCGCCATGGGCGCGCAACTTGCGCGCAACCCCCACCCTGACGCCTTCGCTGCCTTCTTCGCGAAGTTGATTGCGGACTTGGCAAGGCTCCGCGATGTCGAAATTCGTGGCCAGATTGTCGCCGAGTAGCAGGCGTGTCAGTGCCCTCTTGATCTCTGCAATAAGTGTTGGGAGAACGGTCGATTCCGCAATCCTGGAAACATGGCGCAGTGACTGCCATTTTCAAGAAGGGCGACGAGTCCTTGACGCAGAACTACCGGCCAATCTCTCTCCTGTCCGTCAGCTACAAGGTCGTGGCGAGCCTCATCCTGAACAGAATGTCCACTGGAAGGGTGGAGGAGAAGCTGAGGGGCACGCAATTCGGTTTCCGGAAGCAGAGGCGTTCCACTGATGCGATCTTCTTAGTTCAAAGAGCGATCGAACGGACCTGGGCGTCCAAAGACGGGCAACTCTCAGCCATGCTCCTAGATTGGTCGAAGGCGTTTGACAGCATAGACCCAGCAGCCCTCCAAATTGATCTTGCCCGGTTTGGCATCCCGCGGGCCTACTGCGACATGGTCAAGAGCATTTATACCAATCGCGCGTTCGACATGACAGATAGCCACGGCCCCTCCTGAACTTGCCCAATATGCG